GTCATTGAAGCCCTTCAGCAGTTGGAACACTACTCAGGTTCCGCCCCCCCCCTCTCTAGGGAGAAAATATCCAATCCCTCCTGCCTGTTTTCATATATTAGGTTCCTTATTGCTTAGAACCATCTAGTGAATCAACCTTGTGTCTTCTCAGGGTTTTTTATAGCCTCAACTAGACAAATCCAGGCTTGGAAGCAGTACTCTGGATGAGGACGCACGAAGACATTTTACAGAGATAGTACAACCTCCGACCTTCTGAAGCTCACTGCTCCCTTTTTAGTGCCTTTATGCCACTGACTCGCAGAGTTCGAAGCCACACGGTCAGCCAACAACGCATTTAGTTGGACGAACGATTGGCCCGGGTCACACATCGCCCTGTGCAAGCTGAACCGAAATATACTGTACACTAAGTTTGAAAAGCAAACATTTAATTCCAATATACCGCATGAAAAATAAGGATGAAGTCTAGAACTTAAGGTCACCAATGAAATTTTAATTGCTCCTAAAAACGTAAACCATACTTCATGGTCACTTTAGGTACTCACCTGCGACGGAATCATATTGATCCCCGAGTATGTACACTGGTTTAGAGATATTGGGAAGGTAAGGATGGTCTGGTGCAGAACTGGAATATAAGAAAATAGCTAAAGCAGATGACCAAACTCAGTTTCGCCTACATTCCCATTGGTTGTCCATTATAGGTCCAATCTATCTTCCATCATAACAGAGCGGCGCCGTCCAAAATGTGTCAGTTCAGTTCAGTTCAGTTCAGTTGCACAGGACGAAAATGGCTCTTGCCAATCGAGCGTCCAATTCGTTTTGTTGTCGGCGGATGGGGTTTAGCTTCCAACACTGCGTACGGTGATTGAGTATTTGTGATCCTCACACTTCAACCCCGTGTCCGGAAGTTGTCTTCTTACGGGCATTGAGTATTTTGATCCTCACACTTCAACCCCGTGTCGAGAAGTTGTCTCCTTGGGGGTATGCTGAAAGGGAGGAAAACAAGCAAGGATATCTCCTCGCCTCATTCAGTTCAGTTCAGTTTGCACAGGACAGTAGTGGCCGAGACCAATCGTGCGTCCAGA